ACATCAACGAGGGACCAGGAACAGGACAGAGACACAGAACAGGAACAAGGACCAACAGAAAGACAGGACCTGACAAAGAACAGGAGATGCAGACAGGCAGACAGAGAAGGGAGACACAGAGGGAACACCCACAGGCGATACGAAGGGGCCAGGAGTGAACAAAGGAGGAACAGAAGGACGAGGAGCAGAGACAGGCGGAACGAAGGGAGGAGGAGCAGACAAGGGAGACCAGACATGAACGGACGGAGGACAAAGGGGAGCCCAGGGGAACCCAGGCGGGTGAGGGAAGGCAGCCGCAGGGGCCGCAGGCGGACGGGAGGCCGGAGCCAGAGGGGACCACACAGGGGGCAAGGAGACAGATGGAGGGACCGACAAAGGAAACGAGGAGGGAGCAGGAGGGAACAGCGGCGCAGGCAGGCAGAAGGGGGAAGCTGTAGCAGGAGAAGACGCAGCCGGAGCCAGGGAAGGCGCCGGAGCCAGGGAAGGCACCATCCGACACCCAGCCAGAGCAGGGGGCCCCGGAGGCGGCCGACGAGGCACCGACGGAGGGACCGTAGGAGGGCGACGAGGCACCGGAGGGGGACCCGGAGGCGAGAGCCGAACCGGCGCCGCAGGACCCGCAGGCAGCCACCGAGCCACAGCCAGGGGCCGAATGGCCGACCCAGGGGGCAGGGTGGGCGGGACCCGGGCCCGACGCCTGTGTCCTCGTCCCTTGCGGGACACTGAAAGGCGGGGTCCCGGGGGGCGTCGGCCTTGTCGGGGCAAGGGCGAAGGAGTCATTAGGGCTTGGGGACATAGAGGCAGGGCCTCTGATGAGGCAGCAGGCACGGTCGCAGGTGGTGCGGCCGGAGCCGCGGGCGTGGCTGCAGGCGGTGCAGCCGGAGCCGGGGACAGGACTGGCTGGAAGGGAGAGCCAGGCAGATCAGGCGCCGGCAGGACAGGCGAGACAGGCAGATCAGGCGCCGGCAGGACAGGCAGATCAGGAGGGGGTGCCTCAGCAGGTGCCTTGGCCGTGCGGCCAGTAGGGGGCGCCCCAGGCAGAGCAGCTTCCTCCGCTGCAGGCGGAGGCGAAGTCAGGCCCTCGGGCGGAGCTGCAGCGGGCACCCTCAGTTCCCGGCCAGCAGGGGGCGCCGCCATCCCGCGGCCAGCAGGGGGCGCATCTGCGGCCACCGCCATCACGCGGTCAGCAGGGGGCACATCCGCGGCCACCTCGGGTAGTACCGCAGGCAGAGCGGTGGCAGCTGCAGGAAGCGGTGCAGCTGGAGCTGCGGGCAGGACGGGAACAGGCGGGTCCGGAACTGGCTGGACCGATGAGCAGAGCTGCACGGGAGAGGCGGCCGCGGGCAGGACAGGAGAGGCGGCCTCGGACAGGGCCGTGGGCAGGGCCGTGGGCAGGGCCGTGGGCAGGACAGGAGAGGCGGCCTCGGGCAGGGCCGCGGGCAGGACGGGAACGGCGGCCTCAGGTAGGGCCGCGAGCGTGTGGCCCGCAGGAGGCGCCTTGGCGGGCGCCGCCATCACGTGGTCAGCAGGGGCCGCCTGGGCAGGCGCCTCGGGCGTGCGGCCAGCAGGGGGCGCCGCCTTCATGTGACCAGCATGGGGCGCCGCAGCAGGCACCTCGGGCAGAGCGGCGACAGCAGCTGCAGCAGGGGTTGCTGCGGGCCAAGCGTTGGCAGCTGCAGGTACCGCAGGCAGGACAAGCGGGTCAGGCTGGACAGGTGGGTCAGGCTGGACAGGCGGGTCAGGCTGGACAGGCGTTGCTGCGGGCAGTGCGGCGGCAGTAGCAGCAGGTGCTGCTGGCAAGTCCGGAGCAGGCAGGTCCGAGAAAGGCGCCAGGATCGGCGCCGGGTGTGCAGGCGCTGGCTCTTTAAGGGCCTTGGGGATCCGGGGAATCGTATCCCAGACGGCCCTGGCCCGTTTAAGGGCTAGCCGCGTTCCCTGGAAGGGGGAAGCTGCCCGCGCAGGTACCTTCTCGGTGGTGGTGACGTCCATGGTGATCAGGGATTCCCCCTGATCACTAACAAGGAGCGGAGCTGAGGAGAGGGAAGCGGCTCCCAGGCAGATGGTTAGGGCTTCCTATGATGCCCTCTCCTTACGCCTCTTCTTCTTCCTCCGGCTTGGGGTTGGCGGTGGCTGAGCCGTCTCCGTGACGATGGGCGACGGGGCTTCAGTCCCTGCTCTGGACCGCATAACGGGCGGAGTCCTCACCGTTGTCACCCGCTGCACAAGCTGCCGGAGGCTTTCGTGTACCTCCTCCATAACGGGCACGTCTCCGTGCGGGGACATCTCGCTAAGGAGCGTCCCGCTCCAGCTGGCTAACTGCAGCGCTACAGGGTCCTCTTGGACCTCGGGCTGGTTTAGCCAGAACACCACCTCCTGTAATAAGCCGATGCGCCGCCGCTCGGCTTGTGGAGGCGAGTCATTGTGGAGAACCGTCATTCTGTCGTGATCGCTGTTGGACAAGCAGGCAGGACGCGGGGAAATGATCAAGCAGGCAAGCGAAGATCCACGAAGACAGGTTTATTCAGGACAGGCAGGACAACACGGTTACCAACATTAATGACGGATCTAGGGATACTGACACAGACGCGCACTAAATACACAAGACAAGCAGGAAAGAACGGGTAACAGGTGATAACAATCGGTAATCACACGAGTTAATGAGGTGGGCGTGGCACACATCGGGATCGAACAGAACCCCTCTCACTCAGGGGCCCTTGGAATCGTCCTAGCTTTCCTCCCCCTTACGGCGCCCCTGCGTGCAGGACTCTGCTGCCAGGTGCAGCAATAATCATATAAATATTTTATATATATCTGATGTACCTTCCTTACAGCACGCAACACTTACGGCACATACCTTCCTTATGGCACGCAACACTTACGGCACATAACAATATGGTCAATATTTGCATCTACCATGTTGGAAGTAAATCGGTTAATTGGATGGAATTGAAATGAATTAAATTTTTCTTACTGTCATTCCAACTGAACATCTTACAGGGTGTGGCTAAGTCAATTCAAAATGCAATTCATAAATTCTAAGCAACCCTGGTAAGCAATGTCATGAGCTAACCAATCAAACTTCCTATGTGTTCATTCACATCTT